AGAAATAACCCAGCGACTACAATATATATATATATATAATATATATATATATATATATATTATATATAGATAGATAGATAGATAAAGTTATACGGACACGGTAGAAATTTTGACTCTGTTTATTGCATACAGAACTGTTTCGGTGTGTAGCGAAGCTCCACACTATCAGTGCCTAATACAGAGTGATCTATTTAAAACATCCGAGCAGTATAAAAACATCATGCATAATGTTCATCTATTGTTCATGCGTGAGCGTTCTAAAGAAATACCATAGATTACAATTAACGCGTCATTGTCGGTGACTGCTGCGCGCTGGCGCTAAACTGAATCATTGCCAAGAGTTTACATAAAATTATCGTTATGTCTGCATTTACTAACAAGTTCGTTTCTCTTGTTCAGTGTCGCGGTCTCAGGTTTGCACAATATGTAGAACTTCTCTGTTAAGCATAGGTTGCATTTTTCGTAGTGTTTCGAGTAGTGTGGCGCTTTGCTCAGTATCTTCCATTTATCGCGTAGTCTAGGTTGTTGTCTTTCAAGTTCCAAATATGTTTACTAAGCTTCTGTCGAGTTCCGTTTGATTCCGTAGTGAAGGATGCCTATGGTTCGCTAGTCTTGCCTTGAAAGAGGTAGCTGTTAGTCCGACGTATGTTTCTGTCTTATTTTTCGCTTGCCACTGTTGCTCGGTATATTATGTCTTTAGCAAGGCATTTTCATCCAGTGCGCACTTACGTTTTTTCGGGCAGTTGCATTTTCTGTTGTTTTTACCGTTTCCGTGTTGATCTGCAGTATTTCTGTTGTTTCCCTCTAATTATATTTCTTACGTTAGGCATGCAGCTGTACGAGATCTTAACATTGTTCTTATGAATATCTTGTGGAGTTTGTTTTCTGGAGGAAGCACTTATTTACGATTCGTAACGCAAATGACGCAAATGACGCAACGACGCAAACGTACATTTTTTATTACTGCTCGGGATGTTTTAATAGACCACTCTGTATTAGGCACTGATGAGTGTGGAGCTTTCGCCTCCACACGAAACAGTTCTGTATGCCAATAAACAGAGTCAAAATTTCTACCGTGTCCGTATAACTTTATCTAATTTGCTCTACTCATGGTAGTATTGAGCACTCTCGCACACACGAGTTCATAAACAACACATTGGAATCTACATTGCTCCTTCACTGTAGAGCACTTATTGGAGTCGCTGCATCAAGATGGATCGGATATCTTTTGACTATTCTACGAAGAACATCCCGGCAGCACAGAAAACGTCATATCTCAAGCGACTGATCGAACAAACGGAACTTTTCTTGAAACGTATGCGCTGGAAAGCCTTCTTTTTTCTCAATCCCAAACCAGAAACAGAACGAGAAACTTTTGGATTTAAGAGCAACAAGTCATCACCTGTGATCGAGGAATTAAAACAGTTTGACAAAACTAATACAAAATGTAGAGTTCGAGGCTAAACGAAACGACTTCCAAGCAAAGCTATCCCGAGATCTAAAAGCAACGAAGAACACCGAAAAAGTGACAGTAAAAGCCGACAAAACGAATAACTACTATGCTATGGATAAAGAGGAGTATAACAAACTTTTAGAATCAAACATGACGAAAACGTATAAGAAAGCGGGCAATAATAAAGTACCTTCACTCAATCGAGATGCGAAAGTAATAGCTGAGCGTGTCAACCTGGACGACCGAATCGAACGCATAGCAGAGAAGGAAGCGTTCATAACTCTGAAAGATCACAAACCCGACTTCAAGAATAAACCCAGCTGCAGACTTATCACACCGACAAAATCCGAAATAGGTCACATTAGCAAAATTATAACAGAGAGACTAGTTAAGAACGTCGTCGAATCTACAGGTCTAAACCTTTGAAGAGGCACGCCCCGAAGCTCTCGAATCGGTATAAAAGATTTCCCTAACAAACAATCCGCGAAATTCATCAACTTCGACATAATAGATTTTTACCCTTCAATTACCGAGAAGCCTTCTGACAAAGGCGTGCGACTACGCAAGCAACGTACACTAAAATCCAAGAGCACGAGAAACGACATAAGTCTTCACACTAAGCACGCATTATTATTTAACAACGGAGAAACCTTGGATAGAAGAAACAACGAAGCGGATTTGATAGGGAATGGAATCTTTTGACGGAGCAAGAATCGTGCGAACTGGCTGGTCTGCTACATGCTGTCCCTACTACAGCCGAAGTATGGGAATTCACTGCGGGTCTATACAGAGACGACGGCCTCGCGGCAATTTTAACAAGACACCAAAAGAAATCGAAAACGCCCAAAGAAAGACATTTGTAAAGCTTTCCGGGATAAGGGTCTACGAATAACGATCGAAGCAAAACAAAATATTGTAAATTTTTTGGATGTGACACTTGATTTGAACTCGGAACAATACAAGCCGTACATGAAACCAAACAACAAATTGCAGTATGTTAACAATCAATTCTAACCACACCCACCGGCCGTTCTGAAGAATATCCAATTGGCATTAACAAGCGACTCTCGCAGATATCCTCCAGTGAGAAATTTTTTGAAAAAGCGGCGCCACATATCAACAGACATTAAACGACAACGGCTATAATTACAAGCTCCGCTACGAAAAACACAAGCAGCAACCGAGAAAAGAAACAGAGCGCGCATATCATTTGCGTACAACCCACCTTACGACCGAAATGGGGGGTGGATGGCTCGTGAAACTAAATCTCTATGTAACTAACCGGGTGGCTATTTGTAGCAGTGTATGTGTCCAGTGGTCCAAGATAGATCGGTGCTTCTAGCCCGTCGGTATGGTGTAAAATTAGCTTGTGTGGACTGATGCTAACTGCGGTTACTGACCTCAGCGTTGCTACAATATATATATATATATATATAATTTATATAACTTATAACGTATAGTCTGCATGAAAAATAATAATATATATATATATAATCATTTTTCATGCAGACTATAAGTAATCGATCCGACATGTACCACGTGAACACATTATATTACCTACAATTCCCACGCAATCTTAACAAAACAACTCCTTTGAGCATAATAAACAACTTTATAACTAGGATTAAATGTTCAAGCCTACTGTATAGTGGTACCGTTATGGTACTACTGTATGGCGGATAGCGTTATACGAAGCATGCCTTTCAGAACCGGTTCAAGAGAAAACTATGCTCATAGACACACATACACGAAGAGAGGAAGAGACAGATCGCGAGAGAAAGACGAAACCAAAGAGAACATGAGAGAGCGCATAATAAGCGAGAGGGGCGAGAGCGAGAGAGAACGCGCGAGCAAGACAGAGGGAGAGAGAGCGAGGGATGGATGCAAAGAGATGGAGGTAGAGAGAGGGGGAGAAAGAGATACAGCCAGAGGAAGAGAGAGTGAGATAGAAGGGAAGTGAGAGAGAGCTAGAGAAATGAAGAGAAGGCGGGGAGGAAGCGAGAAAGACACAGACGACCGCACATGATCAGGGGGGCCGTTGTCAGAAACATCGTAAAGTTAATGCTAATGTTAATGCTAAGATAACACTTACGACTAATGTTAATGTTACGAGAGGAGCGTTGAAAGAAACACATCGCAGCTATTAGAAAACTTACGATATCAGGAACTTCATCACAAGGCTGCTGATTGGATGAGAATCGATCACAAAATTCAAATTCATACACATTTATTGTACATCACAGTCATTTATGCATATTATGATGGCTAACCACATATAAATAATATTTCATGAAAAACGACGCGGTCATGAATTTATTCTGCACATCAAGACAAATTCTCACACTGTAAACACGAGACGCGAGAGTCGTGGCAAGCGTGGCAAACATTTAAAACAAGAGAAGAAATGCCATACGCCATTTGTAAATGTTTTGTTTTGTTTTATGATCGGTAGATAATTACTGATTTTGACGTGTTTTTCAAGAAAAACACACATTTTATTCATTATTATAAAATATAATATCACTATAATTGTAATGCGTAGTGTAAATGTATTATTTTCAACTTAATATTAAAGTTACGAGAGGGACTCTCGTAATGGAGGATATTTTCGAGGATTTTTCATTCTCGTAACTTTGCGTTGTTTTTGTCAACGGTTACGAGTGGAAGTTAATGTTAAGACTAATGTTAAGACTAATTTTGTTTCTGAAAACGGCCCCCGGGGTTCCAACTACTAGGGCGAAATCTTCTCCACAAACTTGCTGGGTTCTTTCAAAACAAATTTGCCCTAAAAATCATACATACATGGTGTTGCTTCATACTTCTATGATACGGGCCCTGGCCACCGTCGACTTGCCATGACCGCCTATTTTACGCTCCAATTTGCAGTTCGCGGTTTCAATTTGAGGAATATATCTGTCCCTGGCCTCGGGGGACACGTCCGTTAGTACGGCTCAGCGTACGTGCCGGACGCCCGCCGAGCGGTGATCTACCGCATGCGGACTCCATCGCACATTGTCTCACTCCACTCACGATTACCTGCGAGCGTGCATGCAGCAGCACTCTCGCACCGAGGGGAATCTCAAACAGGAACCCGCGGGGTCTCACACGATGTCAGCGAGCAGTGGTGGGTCGGCCGCGAGCATAACATGCATCGCTGCTGCGGCGATCGATTCGTCCGTACGGCTGTGTTCTGTGTACTGAAGTACGGCCTGTGTTCTGTGTACTAACGTACGGCCTGTGTTCTGTGTACTGACGTACGGCCTGTGTTCTGTGTACTGACGTACGTGTTGTGTTCTGTGTACTGACGTACGTGCTGGGTTCTGTGTACTGACTGACGCAGGTGTTGGGCGTTAATTAGGTGCGCGCGCGCGCGTGCACGACACGCACACCCCCGCGCGCGTTCACTGCGCACGCTCTGAGCGTGATGTCCTCGCGCGGTGATGTGGCGTTGCAGCTTCGTCGTTACACGCACGATCGTCTGACCGACAAGCAGAACTGAGAAGAACGAGGAGAGAATCCGCCGCGGACTTCTCCCGCCCGGCAGCGTCAGAGATATCGAGAGAGGAAGCCACGTGTGTGTGTGTGTTTCTCCAGCAGCGGCATCGAGCCGAGACAGCCACGTGTGTGTGACTCTTCCGCCCGCCAGCGGCAGCAGCGATATCGCCAGCCACGTGTGGTGCGTCCCCCCGCAGCAGCATCGAGAGAAGAAGCGACGTGTGTGTGAGTCTCTCCCGCCCACCAGCCGCAGCGATATTGAGGGGAAGACTTCCGACTACGTTTCTTCTGTAGCGGCAGCAATGGCCGACAACAACCTATCGCAGTGGGACCTGATCTTTGACGAATTTGAGGACAGTTTGCTGAAGATTTCCCAGCCGACGACGATCGCTCTTGTCGCCGTCTACGCGCCGCTGTTCGTCATCTCGCTCGTCGGCAACGTCTCCGTCGTGCTGGTCGTCTGCCGCATGCACTACATGCGTAAGAACAAAAACTACTTCCTTGTCAACCTCTGCATCGCAGATCTGCTCGTCACCGTGCTCTGCGTACCCGTGACCCTGGCGAATGTCATCTACCGGAGATGGATCTTCGGGAGAGTCATCTGCAAGCTGGCGGCCTTCTCACAAGGTAGTTCGATTCGAGCAAGCGTGCATTTCACGCGGAGACGTACGTGCTGTTTCGTGTCCATTCGTAACACCATTGGAAATACTTTTGAATTCTAGGATTAAAGCTAATTATTTATTATTATTTTTCATTTTATTTTTATTTTTTTATTTTATTATTTTTATTATTTATTTATTATTTTATTCTTCAGTGGCGTCTCCTTGCGCGATCGGTCAGTAGCAGCTAGCGCGAGTTTTGCTGCCTATTGGCTGTATAATCTTCCGCCGTAATCATCTAATTATTAAATGATATCGCACGTCATGTCGCTCTGTAATTCGCTTTCTAATCCCGTCCTGCAATCAGATTTTTAACTATAATTTATATAGCACCCGCGTTTCTAGGTCTGTGCTGCGTATTCCCTGGCGCTGGTGCGATCGTATAACTGCGCGAGGTCAGTTGTAAACAAAGGACAACAATCAGCCGAGTAGGGCTTCTAGACTTGGCACGCAATCACGAGCATTCCTGGCTGTGGACTAATTACTACATAATTGCTCGCACCTCTCTGCCTCGCCTTCGCTGTGTGCCACGCTCTCATCCTTATTCAGGTTTACACCAAGGCGCAGCGTTGACATTTGTCGCATTACGTGATATTGCGTTACATCAAGTCTTGATTACATGTAAAGATAATTTGTCACCGCTGGCATATACATGAAATAGCCACCTGCTACCGTCTTACCTAGTTACGTCAAGATGTGCAACGCTAATTCAAGAAGAGTACAAGTATTGCTCATTTATATTAGGCTTGTAAAACAAACTCTTTTTATTATTATCTTTAGAAAGTAAAATTCAATTACTTTTTTTTTTACTCGAATTTATTCTATATATAACGCATTTACCCATTTGCGTAAAACATATTCCAAAGGTTCAGAACATTTCCGTCACGAAGTTTATTAACGCAATCTCAATTTGCTGCATCGTTCTAACAACTTACAACTCGCCGATGTACTTGCCGATGCGATTATATAATTACTTTCAAGTAGCTCTGCGCACAGCTGGCGATTCAACGAAATCGTCAGTTGCTCGCCTGGAGGGCGATTTAATTGTTAGTGACAAAATATTGTTAACGAAAAGACCGCCAGCATCTATAGCATGCTAGATATTTGCCGACGACATCGCAAGCGCAACAATATGGCTCAAACTTGCGTCGGCCACTTAATCGTTTAACGATTAAGTTAATCGTCTCACGATATCTACGGTACGCTCTCGCGCATGCGCACAGAGTCCCTGCCGCACGCACACGGGACCATTCACGATCCCTGTCGCTCTTTCTCCATCTCATCCCCCCTTCTCTCTCTGTTCTCCATCCATTCATCCCTCCATTTATCCATCCATCCATCCATCCATCCATCCATCCATCCATCCATCCATCCATCCATCCATCCATCCATCCATCCATCCATCCATCCATCC